ACACGTAATATCCGAAACTGCTGGACCGATTGTTGTCAAATGTTGTATGACGTCATTTCAATTAATGGTTTTCTAAAATGATTTGAATGCTACACAAAAATGTACTCATATAGTTGTGGTGTACGAATCCACTTTCAATTTTTTGCAAGGTATATAAAAATTATAATATTCAAAACATTTTGTTCGATTGTGGTTTAATTAATAATTTTAGTCCTGTTTTGAGAAGACAAACTCAGACAATTCAAACTAACTTCTACGTGACATTCTTTCGATGTATAATCATAAATAAACACTTGAGCTTCAAATTGCTATTATCTACTGCTGAAGGACAAGGGGAGCTATTTATGCGTCTGTTTTTACTTTACAGAGGTTATCACAAAACGAAAATCGTAAAATCAAAATGTATAATTTTTTTAAACATCTGGATTTGTCGGATTATACTGATAGAAATTTTGTAGACCTTTTTAAAGTTATTGCGGGCATGGTAAATTGTTAATCAATCCATCTGTTTATTCCCCCCAAAAATGTTGAAGAGATCATCACAAAATTGTTTAAAGAAAATGCTGGATATATTTCATTGTACAGGAGCGAGGGAAATTCAGTCGAAAGAACTTTTGACCATTTTTTTTCAATAATATGAAACTTTTCGAGGGCCTATTTCTCTTTACACCATCTGTCATTTTTTAAAGAAAGTGAAATCTGCTCGGGGGCCCAAGTGTCTTTTTTAATAATGTGAAACCTTCTCGGAGGCTCTAATTGTTTTTTCTTTTAATAATGTGAAACCTTCTCGGGGCCCCCAAGTGTCTATTTTTTTAAAGAATGTGAAAACTTGTCGGAGCTCCCAACTGTATTTTTTTAATATTGTGAAACTTTCTCGAGCTTCCTAAGTGTCATTTTTTTTAAAGAAGATGAACCTTCTCGGGGGTCCTCAGTTTCTATTTTTTAAGGAGTTGAAACCTTCTTAGACACCTCAAATGTCTTTTTAAGAAAGTGAAACCTTCTCGGAGGTCCCAACTGTGTTTTGTTAATAACGTGTAACCTTCTCGGGATTCCCAACTGACTCTTTAAAATATAAAACCTTCTTGGGGGTCCCAACTGTGTTTTGTTAATAATGTGAAACCTTCTGGGGATTCCCAACTGTCTTTTATTAAAGAAGTTGAAACCTTCTCAGGGGCCCCAAGTGTCTTTTTTTGAAAGAAAGTGAAACCTTCTCGGGGGCTCCAAGTGTCTTTCTTTAAACAAGGTGAAATCTTCTCAAGGGCCTCAGGTACTTTTTTTTTAAAGAAAGTGAAACCTTTTCGGGGTTTTCAAGTGTTTTTATTAAAGAAGTTGAAACCTCAGGGATTCCAATTGTCTTTCTTTAATAATGTGAAACCTTCTCAGGGGCTCCAAGTGTCTTTTTTTGAAAGAAGGTGAAACATTCTCGGGGATCCTTATTGTCTTTTTTTAATAATGTGAAACCTTCTCGGGGTTCCTTCGTGTCCTTTTTATAAGAGGATAAACCTTCTCAGATGTCCCAGTGTCTTTTTTTATAGAAGGCGAAACCTTGTCAAGGGCCCCAAGTGCCTTTTTTTGAAAAAAAGTGAAACCTTCTCGGGGGTCCCAACTGTCTTTTCTTAATAATGTGAAACCTTCTCAGGGGTTCCAACAGTCTTTTATTAATAATGTGAAACCTTCTCGGAGTTTCCAAATGTCTTTTATTGCAGAAATTGAAACCTTCTCAGGGACCCCAAGTGTCTTTTTTTGAAAGGAAGTGAAACCTTCTCAGAGATCCCAACTGCCTTTTTTTTAATAATGTTAAACCTTCTCTGGGGTCCCCAGTGTCTTTTTTTAAAGAAGGTGAAACCTTCTCAAGGGCCTCAGATGTCTTTTTTGGAAGAAAGTGAAACCTTTTCGGGGTTTTCAAGTGTTTTTATTAAAGAAGTTGAAACCTTCTCAGGGGCCCCAAGTGTCTTTCTTTAATAATGTGAAACCTTCTCAGGGGCCCCAAGTGTCTTTTTTTGAAAGAAGGTGAAATTTTCTCGGGGTTCCTTCGTGTCCTTTTTTTAAAGAGGATAAACCTTCTCAGGAGTCCCAGTGTCTTTTTTTATGGAAGGCGAAACCTTGTCAAGGACCCCAAGTGCCTTTTTGTTGAAAAAAAGTGAAACCTTCTCGGGGGTCCCAACTATATTTTCTTAATAATGTGAAACCTTCTCGGGGTTCATAAGTGTCTTTAATTAAAGAAGTTGAAACCTTCTCAAAGGCCCCAAGTGTCTTTTTGAAAGAAAGTGAGATCTTCTCAGGAGCCCCAAGTGTCTTTTTGGAAGAAAGTTAAACCTTCTCTGGGGTCCCAGGTCTCTTTTTTTGATAGAAAGTGAAACCTTCTCAGAGATCCCAACTGTCTTTTATTAATAATGTGAAACCTTCTCGGAGTTTCCAAATGTCTTTTATTACAGAAATTTAAACCTTCTCAGGGACCCCAAGTGTCTTTTTTTGGAAGGAAGTGAAATCTTCTCAGAGATCCCAACTGCCTTTTTTTAATAATTCGAAACCTTTTCGGGGGTCCTAAGTGTCTTTTTTTTTAAAGAAGGTAAACCTTCTCTGGGGTCCCCAGTGTCTTTTTTTAAAGAAGGTGAAACCTTCTCAAGGGCCTCAGGTGCCTTTTTTTGAAAGAAAGTGAAACCTTTTCGGGGTTTTCAAGTGTTTTTATTAAAGAAGTTGAAACCTTCTCAGGGGCCCCAAGTGTCTTTTTTTGAAAGAAGGTGAAACATTCTCGGGGATCCCTATTGTCTTTTTTTAATAATGTGAAACCTTCTCGGGGTTCCTTTGTGTCATTTTTTTAAAGAGGATAAACCTTCTCAGGAGTCCCAGTGTCTTTTTTTATAGAAGGCGAAACCTTGTCAAGGGCCCCAAGTGCCTTTTTTTGAAGAAAAGTGAAACCTTCTCGGGGGTCCCAACTGTCTTTTCTTAATAATGTGAAACCTTCTCGGGGGTTCCAACAGTCTTTTATTAATAATGTGAAACCTTCTCGGGGTTTCTAAGTGTCTTTAATTAAAGAAGTTGAAACCTTCTCAAGAGCCCCAAATGTCTTATTGAAAGAAAGTGAGATCTTCCCAGGGACCCCAAGTGTCTTTTTGAAAGAAAGTTAAACCTTCTCGGGGGTTTCAAGTCTCTTTTTTTGATAGAAAGTGAAACCTTCTCAGAGATCCCAACTGTCTTTTATTAATAATGTGAAACCTTCTCGGAGTTTCCAAATGTCTTTTATTACAGAAATTGAAACCTTCTCAGGGACCCCAAGTGTCTTTTTTTGAAAGGAAGTGAAACCTTCTCAAAGATCCCAACTGCCGTTTTTTAATAATGTGAAACCTTCTCGGGGGTCCTTAATGTCTTTTCTTTTTAAACAAGGTAAACCTTCTCTGGAGTCCCCAGTGTCTTTTTTTAAAGAAGGTGAAACCTTCTCAAGGGCCCCAGGTGCCTTTTTTTGAAAGAAAGTGAAACCTTTTCGGGGTTTTCAAGTGTTTTTATTAAAGAAGTTGAAACCTTCTCAGGGGCCCCAAGTGTCTTTTTTTGAAAGAAGGTGAAACATTCTCGGGGATCCCTATTGTCTTTTTTTAATAATGTGAAACCTTCTCGGGGTTCCTTTGTGTCATTTTTTTAAAGAGGATAAACCTTCTCAGGAGTCCCAGTGTCTTTTTTTATAGAAGGCGAAACCTTGTCAAGGGCCCCAAGTGCCTTTTTTTGAAAAAAAGTGAAACCTTCTCGGGGGTCCCAAGTGTCTTTTCTTAATAATGTGAAACCTTCTCGGGGGTTCCAACAGTCTTTTATTAATAATGTGAAATCTTCTCGGGGTTCCCAAGTGTCTTTAATTAAGGAAGTTGAAACCTTCTCAAAGGCCCCAAGTGTCTTTTTGAAAGAAAGTGAGATCTTCTCAGGGGCCCCAAGTGTCTTTTTGAAAGAAAGTTAAACCTTTTCTGGGGTCCCAAGTGTCTTTTTTTGATAGAAAGTGAAACCTTCTCAGAGATCCCAACTGTCTTTTATTAATAATGTGAAACCTTCTCGGGGTTTCCAAATGTCTTTAATTAAAGAAGGTTAAACCTTCTCATGGACCCCAAGTGTCTTTTTTGAAAGAAAGTGAAACCTTCTCGGGGACCCCATTTGTCTTTTTTTAATAATGTGAAACCTTTTCGGTGTTCCCAACTGTCTTTAATTAAAGAAGTTGAAACCTTCTCAGGGATCCCGAGTGTCTTTTTTTGAAAGAAAGTGGAACCTTCTCGGGGATCCCAAGTATCTTTTCTGATAGGAAGTGAAACCTTCTCAGAGATCCCAACTGTCTTTTATTAATAAAGTGAAACCTTCTCGGGGTTTCCAAGTGTCTTTTATTAAAGAAGTTGAAACCTTCTCGGGGACCCAACACCCTTTTTTCTAAGAAGATGAAACCTTTTTTTTTTCTCTGACATTGTGACTAATATTTTCTATATTGTTTTTATTCCACATAGAGTTTATCACAAAAAAATTAAAATTTTACAAAATCAAATTTCGTAATTTTTCAAACAGGCAAGATTTGTTGGACGTTCGACCAATTTTTTTAATTCCTAAGCGATACATTCCGCCCGTTTGGAATATTTGGGAATACCTACCACAAAATTTTGTACTGGAAACGCTCACTTATAACATACACATAGCATGCTTTTCTACTTTAGAATTCCATATATAACTTTATTTTAGCTTATAGGAGTTATCATAATGTGTGTTAAAAACATATAAAAATCAAACTACTTCAATTATTATTACAGCACAAATCCGTTACATAATCAATATGATTAATACACAAAACGTTATCGCGGCCGGAACATGATCATGCAACTATATCCAAATTTTTAAATTTGGTAGATAACATTTTTTTTTATTTCTTAAAAAAACAAGATAAACAAGTACCCAGTGCATGCGCAATAGTTTATTCTAAATCTTCAAGGATGTAACATAATCCGAAAAGTATATTTACTGAATAATCAGTCGTCTACTAGCATTCATCATGGACGGGCAAATAAAGAAAATAGATACCTTGGTTAACCTGTCTGGCAAAAAAATACAAAGCTATGAAGTGAAACGTCTAACCGCCCCTGGCGAGAACTACGGAAGCTTAATGCTAAGCCTGGAAATCACCACCGAAGACTCCGAAAAAATATCCCTAGTAGCCAAAGCGGTACCACCCAACGAATTCATCCAAGAATACTTCATGACTTCGATCACCTTCCGCAACGAGATCGTGTTCTACAAGCACATAGTACCCACCCTGCAGGAGTTCCAGCGACAAAACGGAGTGACCGAAGTTATAGATTTTACCCCGAAGTACTTCGGAAGCAGACTGAACTTAACCGGTAGCGACAAAGTGGATCAAGACGCCGTATTACTACTCGAGAATCTAAAAATCCAGAATTATGGTACCTTGGACTCAACTATTGGTTTAGATCTAGACACCACTAAACTAATCCTGGCGGATTTAGCCCACCTTCACGCCGTCCCTTTAGCCTACAAACTCCACAAGCCCGTGGACTTCGCCACAAACATCAAACCCTTCTTGAACGACTGGACCCCCAACATCCACCCAAACATGAAAGAGATAATTTCGCGTTTAATCGACAAGTTCGAGCAGTTGAAGGATTTGAAAGCGCGACTCGTGGAAGGTTTCGATAAAATCAAAGAGTATTTTCCGGCTAGAGAACCTTTTGGAACCATCACCCACAACGACTGCTGGGTCAACAACAACATGGTTCAACTTCAAGATGGTACTCCGGTTAGGAACAAACTCGTGGACTACCAAATCGCCAGCTACGGGTCTCCAGCTCGCGACATAGTCTTCTTCTTGTTTTCCAGCGTGAAGAACGACGTCGTGACGCAGTACTACGATCGGTTGATCGAGTGGTACCACGGGATTTTTGTTTCGGATTTAGAAGCGTTGAAGTGCGATACGAAACCGTTTTCTTTGGAGGCTCTGAAGGAGGAGATTGATATAGAGGCTAGAGATTCGCAGTTCGGACATGTGGCTTTCATGCTTTACCCAATCTTCGCTGTACGGAAGAACGTAGGAGATTTGTCGAACCTTTCGCCGGGGAATATTTTTTCGGACGAGGTCACAGAGTTGCACAAGCAGAAGTTTCTTTTTGTGGTTGAGGAGTTTGTGAAGAGGAATTGGGTTTAATGGGACTGTGTCTTGAATAATAAATGTTGGTTGTGTTTTCAAGGTTGACTGTACTTACTAAGTTTGTTTTATTTTCATTGTTATACTAAATGATTAGATAGCATTTTTTTAAACGTGTGTACTTGTTCTAAACGTATGTAAATAATTAAATAAATCTTCAAGGATTATTAAAGAGGTAAGTTGAAACTTAAACTGCAGTGCACTGGAAAACCTTGTAGAGTGTTGTGATTAGAACATACATGGAAAGTTTGTCGTTTATCACGTATTAAAGATAAGTGACATTTCATCTTGATATGAAGCGTTACCTTTGATTTTTGATCAAAATTAGAAGTTCGTAAAAATGTGTTTCGCATTGTTGTAGCTTCAAAAATAAAATATTTGTTGATAAGGGATTATTTCTAAGTGTTTTAACTGTAATATAAGCAAATGATTCTTATAATATTAAAAATTGCAAAATTACAAAAATGAAAATCGAATGATTGAAAATATTGAAATTGAAACTTTTTTTAGAAATAAATTTCAGGTCAAATCAGATAAGGTTAAGTCAAAGTCAGGTCAAGTTATATGTCAGGTCACATCAACTCAGGTTGACTTATCTCAGGTCAGGCTAGGTCAGCCAGGTGAAATCGGAGCAGGTTAAGTCAAAATCAGGTCAGCTCTTGTTTTGCAGTTTGGCCTCATAGAAGTGATTAAGTGAAAATCTCAACAAAGTTGTCTAGGTTTTGGGCTATCATTGGTACCTGGAGTGCCTTAATCCCTCGCCTTCAATCCAGTCCAAATTGATAAGGGCGCCTATTGTAAACTTTGCATAAATTTGTCCCTTTTTAAATTCCAACTTTTAAAATCCATCCAAATAGAAACAAACGTCAAACTAAATAAATAAAAAAAAAACGACGATCAATACCTTTTTTGTTAATTTTTTGAAATTCCCTTTTTTAGACACTAAAAATTCTCTTAATTATAATTAAGCTTCTCGGGGTACACCAATATTTTTTTAAATTATACCTGAACGTGCTCGCTGCGCTCGCATTTTAAATTTAATTTTTTCAACTGTATTCAGATTATTAGAGTCTCTTCAACTTTAGCGGATAGTCAAGTTTTTAAAATTCACCTTTGTTCTAAATTTTTTCTAGAATTTGTTTATATAAATTTAAAAAATTAATAAATAATAAATAAATGAATGTGAGGGAAGTACTGTATAAATCAGGTCAGTTTTTATTCATTCGTACCTAATAAAAAAAATCAGCCCATATCAGTTAAGAGCGCCACCTAAATTAAAATTATCTCCGTTAAGTACTAAGCACTTGATTTTTAACCAGTTTTGTTGACACAATATCTTATGTAATTACGTTGTAGCCATAATTACTGTATATTCTTACATAATTCTCATATCAGTATGAAAACGCCTCATGAAATAAATTTAGCATGGAAGCAAACATTCATCTTTACGACCAGTCTCACACAATAGTTCCATAATTATATAATTGCTACAAGACACGACTAACAACGTGTAGGTCGCTCCGCGGACCTCTTAAGTGACCAATTATCCCCAACTGCTACGATAATTAATTTCAAAGTCCAACCCATCTACTTATTTTTTAATCTGTGTACACACTTCGATAGTGAATCTTGAGATCAATAAAGCCGCTTTTGAACCACTTTATTCAACAATATTTTTTTAACAAACACTCTGATCAACAATGAAAAATAAAACAACCAACCTTGAACACATAACCAAGTGTTAATTACTACATCAGTCATAAACATCCATTAAAAACACATTCATTTATTAAAACAACAATTTATTTAAACCCAATTCCTCTTCACAAACTCCTCAACAACAAAAATAAACTTCTCTTTGTGCAAGTCCGTAACGTCTTCGTGGAAAATATTTTGGGGCGAAATGTCCGACAAGTCCTGGACTTTCTTCCTCACGGCGAAGAGGGGGTAGAGCATGAACGCGATATGCCCGAACTGCGAATCTCTAGCTTCTATATCCAGCTCATTTTTAAACGCATCTAAAGAAAATTGCTGAGTGTCGCACTTCAAGTCTTCTAGAATTGAAATAAACATCCGGTGGTACCACTCGATTAGGTGGTCGTAGTGCTTCTTCACGACGTGGTTCTTCACGCTCGAAAACAAGAAGAATACTATATCGCGCGCTGGCGACCCGTAACTGGCGATTTGGTAGTCCAGGAGCTTGTTTTTGATGGGGGTACTACCTTGGAATTTAACCAGGTTGTTGCCCACCCAGCAGTCGTTGTGGGCGATGGTTGCGAAAGGTTCTCTCGCCGGGAAGTACTGCTTGATTTTTTCGAAACTGTCAAGCAGCCGGGTTTTGAAAGGGTGGATTTGTTCGAGTTGATCGATCAGGTGCGAAATTAACTCTTTCATGGTTGAGTGCATATTAGGGGTCCAGTCGTTCAAAAACGGTTTAATATTTTTGGCAAAATCAGCTGGTTTTCGGATTTTATAGGCTAAAGGGACGGCGTGAAGGTACGCTAAATCCGCCAAGATTAGTTTAGTGGTGCCTAAGTCTAAACCAGCCGTTGAGTCAAGTGTGACATAATCCTGGATTTTTAAATTCTCGAGTACTAACGCACCATTCTCATCCACGCTCTCACCACCGGTTAAATTCAGCCTACTTCCGAAGTACTTCGGGGTAAAATCGATCACTTCCTTCACACCGTTCTCTCGCTGGAACTCCTGCAAGGTCGGTACTATTTGCTTGTAGAACACGATCTCGTTCCGGAAGGTGATCGAGGTCATGAATAGTTCCTGGATGAACTCGTTAGGTGGTACCGTTTTGGCCACTAGCGATATTTTTTCGGGACCATTCGGGCCTTCAGCCGTGATGTCCAAGCTCAACATTAAACTGCCATAGTTCTCTCCTGGTGCCGTTAAGCGTTTCACGTCACAACTTTGTATTTTTTTACCAGGTAGACAAACTAGGTTTTCTAATTTTTTTATTTGTGCATCCATGACGAATGCAAGTCGACGACTGGTTGTTCCGCGGACGCATTTTTCTGATTTTGTTGCATCCTTGAACCTTTACAACAACTATTGCGCAGGCACTCGGTACTTGCTTATCGCTCTTTTCGCAAAGAACTCAAAAGTAATTATGTTTTATCAATGAAATTAATGATGTTGAGTGCCTATAGTTGCTTGATCATGTTCCGGCTGTGATAAGGTTGTGTGCTAATTATATTGATTGATTGTCGGCGGATTTGTGGAACAAATATTTGATATGAGTGCAGCAACATTGTAGGATTTTTTGTTTATTTGTTTATAAACAGCGGATTGTATTTTGCTTTTTTCTGTCTACGTGGTTCTAAAATCTGAATTTACGTAGGTAGTACGTAGTTTCTTGTTGTGAATAGATGGTTATGTATATTTATTAATTATTCTGTAAGTATATTTAAATCAAAGGAAAAATATAAGCCCCACCCACCCACCCTGTCGCAATTCTGATGATTCTGAGGAGCTTAATTATAAAATCCTTATTTTTCTAGGAGAAATTACCATGTGAAGAAAACCAAAAGAGAAGCCCCACCCATCCGTCTCCATCTCAATGGTGACGAATTTTCCATCCGTTGTCAAACCGAGGGGAGGAGCTTAACAGTAAAATCGATAATTCCCTATACAAATTTATCATTTTAAACATGTTTTAAATTTCTTGTTCTGAAAAGACGACTACGTTTAGTAAGAGAAAAGGCAAAATATAAGCCCCGCCCACCCACCCTGTCTCAATTGTAATGATTTTTCTTTAATCGTCGAGAGCCGAAGGAGCAGAAATTAACTGCAAAGTTCCTATTATTTTTCTGCAAAAAAATTATCACAATTAAGATTGAATGGGTGGGCGGAGTATATGTTTTGGCTTTTTTTTAATATACATAGTATTCTTTGAACAAGACGACACTCAGACACATGCTTTTAATTTCTTGTAAAGAAATAAGAATTATGTAGTTAATTTCCTCCCCCTTGATTCACGACGAATAAAAAAATTCATCACAATTGAGATAGGGCGGGTGGGCGGGCTAACATTTTGGCTTTTTGTTTTCATGTGTGTAGACTTCTTTTCGCAACATGAAACTTAAATGATGTTTAAGATGGAAAATTTGTATAAGGAAATTTCGATTAGGCTCCGTCCCATAATTGGAAAATCTATATTTCCTTGCAAAAATGTACCATTTTAACTGTGTTCTAAGTTTCTTGTTGCGAAAAGATGACTATGTATATTAAGAAAAAACGGCACAATATAAGCCCCACCCACCCACCCTGTCGCGATTCTGATGATTTTTTTATTCGACGTAAGCCGAGGAGAGGAGCTTAATTGTAAAATTCTTAATTTTCTAGGAGAAATTACTGTGAAATAGTTTCTCTCGTAATCGTGTTATACAAAGAAACGTGAATGTAAATAAGAAAACCAAAAGAAGCCCCACCCATCCGTCTCGATGTCAATCGTGATGAATTTTTCATTCGTTGTCAAACCGAGAGGAGGAGCTTAACAATAAAATCGATATTTCCCTACACAAATTTACCATTTTAAACGTATTTTAAGTTTGTGAGAATAACAAAAATCATGACAATGGAAATGGGGTGGGTGGGCGGTGTTTATATTTTGGCCCTTCTTCTTAACATACATAGTATTCTTTGCACAACACGATACTCAAAAACAGGTTTTTATTTTTTTTTTGTAAAGAATGAAGTATTTTGCAGTTAAGTTACGCCCTCTTGCTTTACGACGAATAAAAAAAATCATCACAATTGAGATAGGGCGGGTGGGCGGGCTTACAATTTGCCTTTTTGTTTTAATATGTGTAGAGTTCTTTTCGCAACATGAAGCTTAAAACAGGTTTAAGATGGAAAATTTGTAGTAGGAAATATCGATTTTGCATTTGGGCTCCGCCCAATAACACAAAATCCATATTTTCTAGAAAATTTTAACTATGTCGTAAGTTTCTTGTTGTAAAAAAATGGTTATGTATATTAAAAAAGAAGGCAAAATATAGGCCCCACCCACCCACCCGGTCGCTTTTGTGATGATTTTTTTATTAGTCGTAAGTCGAGGGGAGGAGCTTAATTGTAAAATTATTAATTTCCTAGGAGAAATTACTGTGAAATAGTTTCCCAAGTAAATGTGTTATACAAATTAACGTGAATGTAAAAAAGAATACCAAAAGAAGCCCCACCCATCCATCTCGAACTCAATCGTGATGAATTTTTCATTCGTTGTCAGACCGCGGGGCGGAGCGTAACAGTAAAATCGATAATTCCCTATACAGATTTACCATTTTAAACGTATTTTAAGTTTGTGAGAATAAAAAAATCATTACAGTGGAGATGGGGTGGGTGGGCGGGCTTACAATTTGCCTTTTTGTTTTAATATGTGTAGAGTTCTTTTCGCAACATGAAGCTTAAAACATGTTTAAGATGGAAAATTTGTAGTAGGAAATATCGATTTTGCATTTAGGCTCCGCCCAATAACACAAAATCCATATTTTCTAGAAAATTTTAACTGTCGTAAGTTTCTTGTTGTGAAAAAATGGTTATGTATATTAAAAAAGAAGACAAAATATAGCCCCACCTACCCACCCTGTCGCTTTTGTGATGATTTTTTATTTGTCGTAAGTCGAGGGGAGGAGCTCAATTGTAAAATTATTAATTTCCTAGGAGAAATTACTGTGAAATAGTTTCTCAAGTAAATGTGTTATACAAATTAACGTGAATGTAAAAAAGAATACCAAAAGAAGCCCCACCCATCCATCTCGAACTCAATCGTGATGAATTTTTCATTCGTTGTCAGACCGAGGGGCGGAGCGTAACAGTAAAATCGATATTTCCCTATACTAATTTACCATTTTAAACGTATTTTAAGTTTGTGAGAATAAAAAAATCATTACAATGGAGATGGGGTGGGTGGGTGGGGTTTATATTTTGGCCCTTCTTCTTAACATACATAGTATTCTTTGCACAACACGATACTCAAAAACAGGTTTTTATTTTTTTATAAAGAAATAAGGATTTTGCAGTTAAGTTACGCCCTCCTACTTCACGGCGAATAAAAAAATTATCACAATTGAGATAGGGCGGGTGGGCGGGCTTATATTTTTCCTTTCTGTTTTAATATGTGTAGACTTCTTTTCGCAACGTCAAACTTAAAACATGTTTAAAATGGAAAATCTGTAAAAGGAAATATGGATTTTGCATTTAGGCTCCGCCCAATAACACAAAATGCATATTTTCTAGAAAATTTTAACTATGTCGTAAGTTTCTTGTTGTGAAAAAATGGTTATGTATATTAAAAAAGAAGGCAAAATATAGGCCCCACCCACCCACCCTGTCACTTTTGTGATGATTTTTTTATTAGTCGTAAGTCGAGGGGAGGAGCTTAATTGTAAAATTATTAATTTCCTAGGAGAAATTACTGTGAAATAGTTTCTCAAATGTGTTATACAAATTAACGTGAATATAAAAAAGAATACCAAAAAAAGCCCCACCCATCCATCTCGAACTCAGTCGTGATGAATTTTTCATTCGTGGTCAGGCCAAGGGGCGGAGCGTAACAGTAAAATCGATATTTCCCTATACAAATTTACCATTTTAAACGAATTTTAAGTTTGTGAGAATAAAAAAAATCGTTACAATGGAGATGGGGTGGGTGGGCGGGCTTTATATTCTGGCATTTCCTCTTAACATACATAGTATTCTTAGAATAACACGATACTCAAAAGCAGGTTTTTATTTTTTTGTAAATAAATAAGTATTTTACAGTTTAGTTACGCCCTCTTGCTTCACGGCGATTAAAAAAAATCATTACAATTGAGATAGGGCGGGAGGGCGGGCATACATTTTGCCTTCTTGTTTTAATATATGTAGACTTCTTTTCGCAACATGAAACTTAAAACATGTTTAAGATGTAAAATAAGGAAATATCGATTTTGCAATCATGCTCCGCCCCATAATTGCAAAATCTATATTTCCTTGCAAAAATGTACCATTCTGACCATGTTTTAAGTTTCTTGTTATGAAAAGGGGGCTATGTATATTAAGAAAAAAGGCAAAATATAGGCCCCACCCACCCACCCTGTCGCTTTTGTGATGATTTTTTTATTTGTCGTAAGCCGAGGGGAGGAGCTTAATTGTAAAATTATTAATTTCCTAGGAGAAATTACTGTCAAATAGTTTCTCAAGTGAACGTGTTATACAAATTAACGTGAATGTAAAAAAGAATACCAAAAGAAGCCCCACCCATCCATCTCGAACTCAATCGTGATGAATTTTTCATTCGTTGTCAGACCAAGGGGCGGAGCGTAACAGTAAAATCGATATTTCCCTACACAAATTTACAATTTTAAACGTAATTTAAGTTTCTGAGAATAAAAAAAGTCATTACAATATAGATGGGGTGGGTGTGCGGGATTTATATTTTGGCCCTTCGTCTTGACATACATAGTATTGTTAGAACACGATTCTCAAAAAGAGGTTTTTATTTTTTTTTTTGTAAAGAAATAAGTATTTTCCAGTTAAGTTACGCCCTCTTGCTTCACGGCGAATAAAAAATAATCATTACAATTGAGACAGGGCGGGTGGGCGGGCTTACATTTTGCCGTCTTGTTCTAATATGTGTAGACTTCCTTTCGTAACATGAAACTTAAAACATGTTTAAGATGGAAAATAAGGAAATATCGATTTTGCAATTATGCTCCGCCCCATAATTGCAAAATTTATATTTCCTTTCAAAAATGTGCCATTTTAACCATATTTTAAGTTTCTTGTTGTGAAAAGATGGTTATGTATATTAAGAAAAAACGGCAAAATATAAGCCCCACCCACCCACCCTGTCGCGATTCTGATGATTTTTTTATTCGACGTAAGCCGAGGGGAGGAGCTTAATTATAAAGTTCATATTTTTCTAGGAGAAATTACTGTGAAATAGTTTCTCAAGTAATCGTTTTATGCAAAGGAACGTGAATGTATTACTTAAAAAAGAA